TCCCATTGAACGGGGAACAAAGGCGGTGTAGCTGATACAGGAGTAATGCATTATATTTTATCTCTGCAAAAAGCCCGACAAAGTCAGGATACTCTGTAACCCTCTGATTTTCTTCGGGACGTTTGGAGCCACAAAACCAGGCGGCGACCCCCACCGTGCTTAGCTGCAGACACCTTTGGAAAAGGAAACACTTCGTTGGCCGCAGAAATGACACTCTGCCAGCCACACCTGGCTCCGAAGGCGAGTTACTCGCACCAGAAGAGCTTCTCAGTTTCGCCGTGAGTGAGGGTCTCTCAGTTTTTATAAATACCATCTCCTCTCTAGTGAGATCAGTAGCCGGGACAATTTTTTTTCCCCCCCGACTGCCTCTCTTAATCAAGCGCGTGAGCTATTCCAATGATAGCCCGGATTCCATTCGCACAGGTCACGATTTTACTTCCAAGCTGGAAAACTTCTAACCCTCCAAAGGGAAATACTTTTCATTCCTATGCATCTGATGCTCACTAGCTCCTCAAATTCCTGCTGCCTTTTGTGATTTCCTTCTCTCTCAAAAGTCAGAACCCATTTTTTTTTCCTTATTGTTTGGCCGCCTGAACTTTTCCTCCTGATTAATAAACATCGTCTCCCATTTATCTCTCTCCCCACTCGCCCAGGTAAAGCTTTCTCTTTGCCTATCCCTGTTTGACCTTCACGAAGGAAAAAGTAAATTCGTCTCTACTGTCTTTGCAATGTCTTGCGTGTTTGTTAAGTTTGTTTTTCTTTCGTGGTCACTTTATGGAGACGGGTACTATGCCCAACGGCCTCCCAGAGAGCTAGGATTACAGGCGTGAGCCACCGCGCCCGGCCGGCAGTACGTTTTTTAAGAGTGAGGTTTGTATCTTACTTGTCTCTAGATTACATGCAATATTTAAACACAGCACTGTAATAAATATTCATCACCTTTTATAAGCATAATGCTCACTGCTGCAGTGAGAACTCATCTATAAACAATTTATTTTACTTTTGAACATTTTTATCTGTTTAAAATATTTTAAACTATAGGCTAATTTTCTCTATTCCTACCTTCCCACCTACCTTCCTTCCATACTATGTAATGAGTTCCAAGAGCCCTGAGATTTCCGTTTGCCAACATGGATCCTCATTCCTCATCTACCTAGTCATTCTCACACCAGGGATGCGTTTATCACACTGGCGCAAAGAATAATCTGATCGTGAAGGTTCCATTCTGTCGTCTGGAAATGGTTTTCAGTTGTTTTAAGCTATACCAAACACATCATGAATGTTATTATAATATTTGCCTTCCCTGACTCTTTTCCAATCCTCTTTAATTTTCTTCCTATTTTTCTTGGATTTCTTTCTTACCTATGTGGCCTGCTAATGGTGTCCGTGAGAGTGGCTTAAATATGAACAAATTGATGACCTGTTATATGGGTTAGTACCTAAAATCTCAGAGATATCTGCTTGTACATCTATTCTTATTTTTCAATTTAGAGAAATGGCATTTTGATAAGAATAATTCTTATAATAATAATCCTTCCAAAATGCCTCTCTTTCAGTTCAATAAAATTATTCCTTTTAAATTAAATAAATTTATAGTTCTCACTCAAATTTCCTTAGTAAACAGAAAAACATTGAAGTACCCAGATACTCAGTATTGACAAGACAAACTTTTATCCTAACTTTTTGTTTTCAAGGGATTAGACTGGCATTACATGGGCACTAAAGTGACTAGCTTTTTCCTTCTTAAGATAGTCCCATTAAACGTTTCATTAATCAAAAGCAAAAAACCACAAAACTTCAAAAGGTTAACAAATACTAGATTTCAAGGATACCGTAGGAAATTATTCTGCTAGGCTAAGTACCTAAAATATGCTTCTGTTCTGAAAGCCTAACACATTTAGATCTTGCATAGTATATACTCTTATCTTTTTTTTCATATGTCTACCCTGCCAGTTCCTAGGATAGTTAATGCAAATATTTGCTAAGTTTTTAATTACTTTGTTGTAAATATAAATACTGAAAAGCATAAGGCTATATTAACATTAAAAAACAGCTGCAGGCCGGCATGGTGGCTCACGCCTGTATCCTAGCACTCTGGAGGCCGAGGCGGGAGATTGCTCGAGGTCAGGAGTTCAAAACCAGCCTGAGCAAGAGCGAGACCCCATCTCACTATACATAGAAATTAATTGGCACAACTAATATATATAAAAATTAGCCAGGTATAGTGGTGCATGCCTGTAGTCCCAGCTACTCAGGAGGCTGAGGCAGGAGGATTGCTTGAGCCCAGGAGTTGGAGGTTGCCGTGAGCTAGGCTGATGCCACGGCACTCTAGCCTGGACAACAAAGCGAGACTCTGTCTCAAAAAAAAAAAAAGCAGCCTAAAGTGGAAAGATATGAATAGAAAAATGGGGGGGAAAGTATGGAATATGCTTAGGACTGGATACATTTTATAACCATACATAGTCTACCGTTGGAACAATTGCAAAACCGTGGGGCGGGAACAGGGACTAG